GTTTTTATCGCTAAAAATATAGTGTTTTTCATGGTTTATTTGGTATATTTGATGCAAACTAATGTTATATAAAGTGCTGATACAAATATTTGGTCACATCAGAATTAAGAACCCATTTTTAATATATAAAGAATATGTATGTAATAATTTAGAAAATTATATGTCTTGTAGAAAAGCTGAAAATTTTGATTTTTATCTTATTTTTGTAGTAGTGTTTTGTCATTAAGATATAAATTTATTTTAAATAATTAGATTTATTTCCGAAACCATTATAAAACTATCTTAAATAATTAAATTAACACCCGTTATAACACCTCATTCCTCTCTTGCTGCCCGAAGCTTTGGTCTGAGCTTGCTAGAGCTCTCTTATTTTCGTGTCTTGATGAGCTTGCTTTTGTCCTTTGATGAGCTTTATTGTGATCTCTCCGGTTCGATCGTATGCTTTTCTCCTTTTGAGTTTAGTGTTTGTCGGTTAGAGGTTTGTTTCGCTCCTTGTCTCTACACTCAAGACCTGATCGAGGTCTGGTCAGTTCATGTCTTCTAACGAGGCGATTAAAGGTCGTGGTTTGCGACAAACGCCGCTTCCGAAAGATTTGTGGGATTTGGTCTCTTTATCTCGCGTCTTTCTTGTTGGAATAGAAGTCTAGGTTCATTCGATTTGAGAGGTACCTTGGCTACGCAATAGGAGGTTTCATTAACTACAAGATGGACGCGTGTTGTCCTTTGTGGCTGGCTTTGTTCACATTGGTGTGGGAGTAAGATTAGCAAGTTCGTTTTCTTTCGAGCTTTTGTTTAAGTTTTTGACTTTTGTTTCGTTTTTGTGGATTGTATTCTCCACGTGTTCAACTGATTCCCTCTTTTGGGCTTTAAGTTTCCGGGGATTTCTAGTGTTTTCGCCGGCTTATGTATTTCAACAATGTATCCTTCTTTGTGATATTAATAAAAACATACGACAAAAAAAAAAACACCTCATTCCTCTATCCTTAACTAAATTTACAAATAAAGCACTAACTAATCCTAATTGCCCTAATTTTAAATAAGGTTAAAATATAGAAAAAAATCAACATAATCAAATTGGGGAAAACACAAATCGGCATGATCATATTAATTAACCATAACTGCATCAAGCTGCGGAAGCGTTTCCTGTGACGTCTTGCAGAGATGATGTTTCGAATTTCTTTATCAAGAAGCAAGAAAATAGTGGCAGATGGGATTACAACCTGATTGTGGATGATGTTGTTTCATTGATTTCAAATGTGGTAGATTGTTGCTTGAGCTGCGAGTTTTCAAAGGATAGACGAAGCTTTCATAGAGGAGACTCTTACCTATGAAAGAAAGCTCAGCCCACGAGAGGAGCAACATCCTGTTTGGATCAAGTCTAGAGAGGACACTTGACCAGGTAGCTTGAAAGTAGATACAAGTGAGGATAAGATGGTTCCTTGACTCAATCTCAGAGTTAGATCAAAAATTTAAATGATAAATTATAATATAATTAAAACCAATAGGAAAATGACATGTAGGGCTAAGGCTACACCAACACTGCCATAATTCTCATTCTTCTTTTTAATTTGTTCAGCTTGAGCCAAGGTCACCGAACCTGGTTTTATTGTCTCAGCGTGGGTTCATTAATTTGGTGTTCTGGAGTTAGAAAATCCAATATTATCCTCAAAAACGGCGACAAATTGTGAATTCGAAAATTTACCCTATAGATTATGAATCGTGCATATCTTAAAGCGGCGCCTTTGTTTATATGAGCAATGATCTAATTGAACCAATGAAGAATAACTAGAGACTTGTATTGATTGTTTATAAAGTTTAAACTAATACGATGGTGTGAGTTGTAGCAAC